TTCTCTTGATGAAACTTCAAGGTCCTTTCCTTTTGACCTTGAGTTTTCATGGGTAGAAATGAAAAGGTCCAGATTGCTGCCAAATACATGGCTTGTAGCAATTGATTACCCAATTGGGATTAATAATGGGATCATTTTGTCAAGAACCCCACATATATAGCTATTTAAGAACTGGCAGCAGGAGTAGGATATGCATGCAATAGAAGTGATTATGTCTGTCAACTGGATTGAGAAAAAACAAAAAATAGTTGTTTCCAATGTCAGGATGGTTGACAATCAAGGAATAGTCTACACAATCTTAAATGAAGGCAATGATCTGAATAGAGCCACTCCTAATATCATTTTTCTTCATTTATCAAATGGGACTCTACCAGATCCCCAGACTCTAGGCCATTCTCAACTGTTCAGAGCCTGTACAGCTTGGGTCAACTTGTTCCACAGAACTCAACAGCTTAATCACCTCCAGTCAACATCATCTTTTGTGCCCAAACTCACCAAAAACTATATACCTTTCTATCTACTTTAAATATACTAATAGTTTCTAGCAAAATTTTGTTTTTAATTTAAAACTTAAATTGCAATTTTAATTTTGCTCTTCAAATGTTGCTTTTAAATGGGAATCAGACATCTATTTAGAGTTAATGTATTACATATATTAGATTTTTTTGCAAAGGTTTATTTCTATCATCATCATCTTCTTCATCAACATCTTGAGAATCTAGGTCAATGAATGATACATAATTCAATAAATAAATATTTACTTTAAAATATTCAGATACTTGAAATATTTATATATCTATTTTTTAAATATAAAATTTCAAAAAAATATTTTTGAGTGAATGAATGAGCTAGAGAACGAGTTAAATTCTAATTGTACAGTGGGGAATGAAGCCAACAAAGTCCCTTATTTCATAGATATTTTGCTTTAGTAGCAAAAACAGAAAATAAAGAAGCACATAAAATAAATGCTTACAAAACAGTTGCTATGAAGCAAACAAATGGGATGCTGAAGAGTAAACTAACTCCTTAGCAATGTTGAGCGATGTTTTAGATAGGCTGCCCAGGAAGGTGACATTTAAATTGAGACGTTAAGTCTGAACAGTGGATAGTCTTAAAGCAGCCTGAGAAAGAGTGTTACTGAGCCCTTTGGGTGGGGTCTTGTGCCAAGAGTAAGGAATACCAGAAAGCATAAACCTAGATCTCTGATCTCAGAAATGTCACCATATAAGCAGGGAGGTGGGCCACGTATAAAATGGTAAATATCAATCCTGGGAAGATTATCGAATGTCTCATCAAAACAGATGTGAGAGGTGAGAAGAAAGAGAGAGAGACTGGTGTGCACTGGAATAGTGGAACAGTCACTGTGACCTGAGCACAAGTCTGAATCTTAGTAAGAGGAGGGAAGCAACTCTCAGAAGATGATTTTTAATCAGCATTCTATTTGTGATTTAGAATAGGCTGTGTGTATTATCTCCATCCATAACCTCCCTCCTCTAGTCCAACTTTAGAGCCAGGAAAGCAATGCTCTTGTTTATTTATTTATTTATTTATTTATGTTTATTTATTTATTTAATTGCTTTGCTCATAAATTCGGGTTCCAGCAGAGTGCTCTCCTCACAGGGAGCAGTCAGCAAATGTTCTAATTTGCTTACCTGAGGAGCTTAAAACAAAGATACAAAGTCCAACCACCCTTGCTCACTGCAGTTAATAAAATAAGCTATGTTAAGGATAAAATATTAAAGAGATAAGTTCAACTCAGGCTGGGATATCAAGAAGTCCTGGAGCTGCCTCATAGAGATTCACCTTGGAATGGCTGAGGGAGCAAATAACCAGAGATGAATCAGTGGGTCAGTGCAGCTTAACCACCTTACTTTACTGAAACACTCCATATATGAAGAATAATGTTCAAGAGACCTCAATTAGTGTGTCCATAGGATGAGAGAACTCCAGGAGTCTGGCATATAGTACTGAAACCAAATATAGGTTGGATGAAAAATGCATCACCGGCTGTGTTGGAAGAGACGGCCTAACTATGTTAACAGTTTTTCTTTAGAAGTTGAGACCAACAACAAGAGGGCCATTATTTTCCTGTGCTGATTTCTACTCTGCATGAGTTTCCTTGACTATGTGAGGAAGGATGGTCCCTGAGTTCACAGGTGGTCAGAGTCTGTCTCATGACTGAAAGTGGATCTTTTTGGCTGACTGTAAAACATTTCTGGGTGTAGAAACTTTTTCAAGTGCAGTTGAATGTAGCCTCATTGGGACTGCTCCTCATTCTGCACAGTGGCCCATATGCTTCAAGACCACAGAAGGGTGGTTGATGGGTGGTTAAAGTTCAATTCATTATGACAGCATTGAATGGCTAAACTCTCCCCTAACATCCCCACATCTCATCGAGCTTCCTGTAAAGCTCCTCTTTGTTGTTTCCTATGAAAGTGTTTTTGTTTTTGTTTTGGAAACCATGTCAGGTTGTAATAAGAGAGGACAGATTCGTCTTATTAGCTATAAAACCAATTCTTTCCATTTTAGTGAGCACCTCTTGATTAAACTACCGCGAATTTGTTGAACAATACCTTACACTGCCTTATAATTTTAGAAACCTGTGCATTGATTTGATGACATCAGGATGATCGTTCTGCCCAACGTCTCCCCAACCCCATAGCACTAGAGACTGATTCTGCCATCCATTGTTTATTTCAATTAAGGTATCTCAGTCTCTACCAACTTCTTGTTTAAATATAAACGTCTCATTGAGATTTAAGAATCTAAGTTGCCTTTTTCAGGTTATTAGTTAATAAGATCTTCTCATGCAGTACAATGGAGCTGAGGGGCAGACCTCAAGGGCTGGAACATTAGATCCGGGGGGAAAGTGAAGTGGGTTGGTCTGGGTTGGTCTACAACCCTAAGAAAGCATGTCTCGCATGAGTATGGTACTGTTAAGGAAAAACAGTTGGGAACTTGAAGTTTAGATGGGGCACAAGGGGCTGGAGAGATAAAAGGGAGATGGGAGAAGAGAACAGTAACCTCAAAATTTGCATAAGATTGTACCACTCCATCAGTCCACGAGCCCAACCTCTCACCCTTACTTCCCAACAGGAATGAATTTGAGGCTCTCTTTTTACCTTGCCAAAAACCCCTGGGGTCTCTAGCCTTTTCTTCCCCTGCTCTCAGTTTGTGCCTATGCCCTTCCTTATTTCAATTTCCCAGGGAGAGCTCAGCAAGTATAAAAGATATTTCAAAATAAATGTACAATCATTCAAAACAAAAAACCTCTAAGAAGATAATATTATTTGGATGATAATATTGCCTCAGAATATGCAACAGTCTATGTGGGTAGGAATAAAATATGCAAATTTATGCAATCTCTATTCAAGTGCACACACAGACCTAACAAGCATTTAAGCCTGAAACTGGACACTCAGAAAGAGTTGAGAGTATGTGGATTTTGCCTTCCTGTCTACTCCTCTACCCCAATTTTGAAACAAGAGTTCAATCCTGAAATCCCGCGTCACGAGAGAGGCCACGTGTGAACGTTTTTGTGTGCTGCTGAACTTCTCCAGAAATGAGCAGTTTGCTTAACCACCTGAGAAAGAAGTATGAGCCAGATGCAGACACATGCCAGCAAGAACCCAGGAACACCATTGCAGGCTGCTGGAATTCACAGACTCCAAATCTGCAAAGGAAAGCAATGTTAGTCCATCCAGCTGCGCTGACAACAATGTTCACGAAATTCCCTTTATACAATGGTTTTGCTGAGGTCGGGTGATTACCTCACTAGGCCCTGCTTGTGAAATTGCAGCGGTCAGGAAAATGAGAGGTGGCTATAAGCTCATCAGCTGGAGAGCTGGGAAAACCAGTTTCAGAAAGCTGTCAGTGGAGAGATGTTTTCAACATGTCAGCGGTATGATGTCCGATAGCAGATTGCATAATAACTAGCGCAGCAAATAGATTGACTTTCTTCCCCCAGAGGAAAATGTTTGACAAGAGGAGGTGACCCTGTGCTTGAGCAGACTTTCTCTATAAGGGTCTTACTGGACTTATGACACTCGAGTGCCAAGCAGAAGGCAGAATCCAAAGTGCCAGGCAGTCTCATTTTTAATTGGCTATCAAATACTAGCCCCCAAATAAGAGCATATTTCCCAAAAAATATTCCTTTAGAGAAACCAATCATCCAATATCCTTTAGAATATATATAATTTCTAACAAACACCTTAAAATAAATCACCTGTTAGATATCTTTGTTGTGCATGTTTAGCTTGAAAATCTTTTTCTTTTTCTCTTAATTTTCTAATTTCACCTTATTTTGCCTTTTCCAGATGAGAACTTAATAACGCCAAACATCAAATAATGACATCTTTACTTCCTTTTCAAGCTATTTTTCACTGCATAGTTTTTTATGCAAGTTATGGTGCAGCAGAGTTGATAGGATTCTAAGAAATTAATTAATCAAATTAATCAAACTGCCAGATGCTTAAATATAAAATACTGTAAATTAGATATTGTTTTTGACAGCCACCAAAATAGAGTGTAATGATCAAATGGAAAATATGTTAGTTATTTTTCTTATCCACCTTGTTTTCCTGTTTTTGATTTTTTAGCGTATAACTTTGGATTCAGTTGGGCCAGGAATAAATTATTGGATTCAATTATGGAAATAGTCACTTTCAGCCCAGAAGACTATATGGTGGTAAAATGCCAGCTGTATGTCTCTTGGTTGAGTTGACGAAACCTGAGTCAGCAATGTTCTTCAAAGACACTTAGAATCTTGTGTTTTGGAGCTGTAAGTAATTTCAAGGTTTTTTTCTAGTTCAGCATGCTGCTTTCAGGAAGTCAAAATCATATTTCTGTTTTACTGCACCTGAGGTTCAGAAAGATTAGATAAGTTCCTTGAGGTCATAAAGTATTCTGGAGAGATCTAGAATCCAGGATTTTGCTTCATAATACAGCGTCTTTTTAGTATTCTAGCATAACAAATAGGTATCATATATGCTTCCATTCTCTTCATCCATGGGCATGGCAGTTACTGTTAAGCAATGATGACCTGCTTTCCTGCTGAGCATGGAAGCAGCCTCAGAAAACATTGCATCTCATCAAAAGAGTCAAGTAATCCACTGGGCAGATGGGATAAAACTTATTTCCTGACTGTTTTGGGCTATGATTTCTTAAAGGACAAACTTGAAGGGCTCAGATTCAAGCCTTGTGACAAGAAATAGCTTCTAAGTCAAGAAAAAGTCAATCAGGTTCATCAATTGTAACAAATATACCACAGTAAGTGCATCAATTATAACAAATATCCCACAATAATAGGGGAATTGTGTATGTGGGTGAGGCTCGGAAGGGGGTATATGGAAACTTTCTGCTCAATATTTCTGCAAACCTAAAACTGCTCTAAAAAATAAAGTCTATTAATTATTTTAAAAAATCAATAGGTTAGCTGACCTAGTCCTATGGTTGATCCATATGGATCATCACCTTGTATATTTGCATATGGCCATTACTCAGGATTGTAAAGCAACTGTGATGCATGAGTCAACCATAACTCTCATTTTCTGATGACTGTATTTTGAGAATGCATTTGGAACAGGAAACCTAAATATACATCCTTCAAGTTAAACTGTCTTTGATGTGTATCCATAGTGCAAGTATTTTTTATTTGATAATGGAATGATTACCCAGGCATAATAACTGTTGTCAAAATACTTGTTTTTCTTTTAGTTTCCCTAAAATTAGCAGGCTTAAGCTGTGGATTATGGAAGGCAATATACTTCAAGTGTGTGCACTATGTTTCAAGGGTAAATAGGTCCCCTAGGAAAAGTTTAAGAAAGTGATGTTGTTTAGCTTGGCAAAGAGGAGACTAAAGGGTGTACTGAGAATTGTGTTTGAAATATGATGATCTATTAAACGGAGGACAGGAACCAGCTGTTGTTCATCTCCAGTGAGGAAAGAATAGGAAATTGACTCAATAGAAAATTTGGATTTGGGTATAATAGGCCTTCCCTAATTAACCCTACTCCTTTTCTGAACATTACCTTATCCTTCTTTCATCAGAGACTTGGGTTTTAGCATAGAGCATAAGATTCTACATATATTAACCTTCCTATTTTGTAATTCTTCCCAAGACATTTCAATTTTTATCTATCAAGAAGCATATTGAGTACCTTCCATGAGCTAAACTTAGTGTATAGGATTTATTCCCACCTCTTCAGGAGGCAACACACAGGCATGAACCATTTCCCTAAGAAACAGGTTAATAAGTATTTGTGGTCTATTTGCTGTTCTGAAACTTCGTGAGTATGAAAACAAACCTAAACTTACTCAAAATCTCTATGGTGAGCTGAGACACATTACAAACATGTCTTCTCTCTTAATTGTACCACCAACCCATCACATACATGCCCCACAGAGAACTCTTGCTCATTTCCTGAGTCCTAACATTTTAGCACATTTATCAGCCATTCACCATACTCCAAGACAAAGTATTTCTACAAGGCAGAAGAAAAATTTCAAATATCATGTCATATCTTTGTGGAATATTAATTATATCTGAATCACATCATTGAGTAAATATGCAGCAAAGCTGTTTTGTATAATGAAATAACAAAATGTATAAAATATAGACGCAAAAAAGACCTGATACATTCTCTTTAAGAGATTACCCTTCAGAGGGGAAAGAAGAAATTCTCAGGTATAAATATCCCAGTTTGATTCAGAGGCTGAGTAGACAATGGAGGTTTTCTGAAAATGTAATTCATCATTGAAAACAAAAGGAGCATCGTTGATTGCAACATCAGGACCAGAGACGAGGACATGAGGCCTTCAATAATAAGGGGCTCACATTGCCTCTCCCAAAGGTAAACCAGGAGACAGACAGGGAGTTTGGTACCCCCCACACTTAGGAATTAAATCCCATAGTAGAGGCCCATCTCAATTCAACTGGCAGGAAGACAAGAGGAGTGGCCATGATTAGAAGAGCTTTAGAAATTAGCATAAGCTTCTCCTTCTATGTATTTCTTATTTTATTTCCCTAAGTCTGTCTTCCTATAACCAATAAAACCTCTAATGTAGAAGAGATTTGTGTAGAAGTGATTTCAAATTCAGAAAACATAAGAAAGCAGGATCCACTGCCAACATCAGGCCTAGGAGAAACTAAAACCATGGGAGAGAGAAGTAATGAGTGTAGAAGCCTGGAAAGAAGGAAAGCCGCCTGAATGCATTGGCCTTTCACGAAGTGAGGGTGTTGGAGAGAGCCTGAGATGCATGGGTCTGTGCTGAGAAGCGGAAAGCCCCATATAGAGCTAGCAGAGGGGTAGAGGAAAATACAAGTGGCCCTAATATTGGGAGTGAGTGACAATTTAAGTGTAAACAAAATACTATGCAACAACAAGGTGTGGGGGAATCTTGGAAGGACTCCTTGTGAGAAGGAGCTTTTGACCAAAGGTAGAGAAACAAATTTGGCAAATAGATGTAGAGAATGGACAATTTTTGGAAGACTCTAGAGTGTTTCACCCATTCTAGAAGTATCATTTAAGGCTTCATATAGCAGGAGATTAGGCTCGCGTGACCTTTTTAAAATTTCAACATCATTAATAGCCCTGACTGAAAATCTCTGAATAAATTAGGAGTAAAGAATTAATGAGAATGGTGGTAGATTATTTGCTTAGGTGACAAACTGAAGAATAACACCTGGGGCCTGCCCAGTGGTGCAGCAGTTAAGTTCGCACGTTCCACTTCGGCGGCCTGGGGTTCGCCGGTTCAGATCCCAGGTGCAGACGTGGCACCAGTTGGCAAGCCATGCTGTGGTAGGCATCCCACATATAAAAAGTAGAGGAAGATGAGCATGGATGTTGGCTCAAGGCCAGTCATCCTCAGCAAGAGGAGGAGGATTGGCACCAGATGTTAGCTCAGAGCTGGTCTTCCTCAAAAAAAGAAAAAAAATAATGACACCTATCCGTGTTATTGCCTGAGAACAGTTCAGTCCTAAAGCTGGGAAGGATGGTTGATAGATGAAATGTTTATATCCCAAAGTTGGAAATCTATCTGTCGTATCATTAGGCCTTACTTATAGTAAACCTGTGATGTCACAGGCAGAGATGTCTCATATGGATAGGCCCACAATCAAACAACCAATAGAAACAGGTGGCAGATGCTGTTGTCAGCACAAAGAATCCATAATCAATCTATAAATCAAAATTGGGATGACTTTATTATGAGCCAGATCTGATGACTAATTCGAGCTTCCTTCCTCAAGGAAGGAAGGGCACCAAAGAAGTGGGGTGTACAGAGTGGGTATATACCATCTTGGAAGAGCATACATCACATACTATAGGAATGTCCCTTTTATAATAGTCACAAGATTGCTTTGCTGGCACAACAGATAGGTGGTCAGCAGGTCAGTGGTCACAAGGTGAGTGGTCACAAGGTCACAGCCAAGTCAGTAATTAATCCTCAGTTTAGGGAGAGATGCTTATCCTAAAGAAATGCTGATATGGGGGAAGTTACATCCCTATCTTTAAGGACATCTTTCTTGTCTTTGGGACATAGTAAATATTTAAAGCAGATGTACAATGCATGCTTAACAGGCCATGTCAGACCCTTTTGGAAAAACAAAGTCAGACTGAATTAGTTTTAAACCGAATGGCTTCCTCATATACTCCAATATATCCTATTCCTTTTCATTTATTTATCACTGTCAAACAACTTAATCATTTTTAGAACAAATCTATTTTTTTCCGTAGCACAGAACTGTCTAATTTAATTGAAAACTGATTGATTTCTTCACTACTTTGCTTTTCTCTTTATCATTTCAGAGCATTATAAGAGGATATTTAACTGACTGTTAAGTATATGTAATTGAGCACTGAAGACTTTTTTAATCTGATTCTTATCTAGAAAGTTTACACACACACATCCTCACATACACACATGACATTATGCATTCAAAGTCACAATGAAGAACTGAAATAACTTTTACTTTATTTCTGACCTTAGAACCATTTTCTCCCAAAATGTTTTAGAAATTGTGGACAGCATATTTATCCCTCTCTAGACACGAGCATAGATTTTAGAAACTCTGAACCTTGTTCTAAGTATACACCTTGGTCAAAGAACTTGATTTAGACTCAATCTACATTTCTCTTGAAAGAATTAAGACATATGAATTAAATCAAGTTTATTCTATCTATATTGGTTGAAATTTGACAGATTAACCTTTCTTGTCCTCAACCTCAGTCAAGGTCTTTTTTTTTTTTATGACTGATTTTAGTATGTGAGTCAATAGCTGAGTTCAAGTGCCTTCCAGTCTCCCCTTCCAGCTCCCCCAGGGTCCCTAAACAGGATCTTGTTAGCACCTGAAAAGTTTGGCACACACTAAGGCAATTAGCTTCCTTTCACACCTAAATTTACCTCCACCCCATGCAAACTTGCAGCTGTTCTCCTGCGTTTGTTACTCAAATGATCTCCCTGGTAAACACTGAATCATGAGGCTGAGGCAACAGAAGATTATTGGCCTCCTAGGGGCCCTGGTCCTGTCTCCTTAAAATATTCTCTTCACTGCCTTTACTTGGAGAGTCATTTTCCACATTTAGCTTTGGGAACTTTGAGTGTTTTCAATAATGCCTTTCAATACAATAACACTGGAAAACAAATGAACCCGTTTGAATAGTTTACTTCTAAGTGTTAGATTTTTCATTGATTTTTAACTGTTTTTGAACTGGTGATTAGCAAGTATTTACTTCATCAAAGTACTTATTTATTCAATAGTCAATGGATTAAATCACTTACTGCGTACAAAACACTGTATCTTTGCCTATGGGGAATAAAAAGTAACTGAAACTTTATTTTTACCTGCTAGATACAAAGGTAAACACAAACTATGCCTATGCACAATATAAGTAGAACAATAGCTTTTATTGTGATATTTGAGAAGTACTATGGAGTCCTCAAATGGACCCTAGAAGGTCCAGATTAAATAATGTTTTGGAGGATTGAGCCATTAAGGTTAGTCAAAGAAGAAACTGAAGTGGAAAGGTCTGGGCCGAAACTTGACATTTGAAGGTGTTGGCAGATTGTGTTGAGGTTCAAATTCAGCATCCTTTACTGAGGTGCCTGCACACCATGAGCTACACGTAGAGTAGAACATTCTGAGTAGAAGGTTGGTTGGAGTGGATTCGTTTAGGTGGAAATCTTGGCTAGTATAATGGTAACAGAACTAGACTTGACAGCAAGAATTACATAATACTCAACATAGGGAAGGATTTGCTGCTGGTGAA